AGGTTTCAGTTAAGCAAGAATAGTCATTGTCTTACTTTGCATTATTTTATAGTCAGTAGTGCAGGATACTAAGCAGCTTGTAGACCATTCTCTACAAAGAGCAAAAATATAGATAGCCAGTGCATTTCTTGCAGTTGATTCACAACACTTGCAATTCTAAATCATTAATACTTTGTTGAAGCCATATGTGCTATTTACTGAAACAGAGAATTCCTGGCTCTTCTATCTTATGATAATTATTATTCTTTTTGGCTACAGCCATTCTTTTAAAAATGGTCAGTTTGTGTGTTGTTTCAGGATAGAGGGTAGAAATTACCATGGGGAAACTTGCCAATTTGGAAGCATATGTTCTAGCTCAGCACTCTAGATGACATTTGATTATAAACTTTGATAGAGATAAGGTGTCCAGTTTATAGGTCAATTTTCCTACAAGTCCTTTAGGTTTTGAATTTTGATTTTTTTTTTTCTTTTTTTATTTTTTTCCTTTATGGTAAATCCAGTATTAATTAGCTGTTTTAATTTTTCAATGAAGAACAACTCTTGTAAGCAATTATGGGCTGAGCAGTATATTCTAACCCAAAATACTAGAATATTTTATTTTAGTAGCAGCTGGTAGTGCTTTTCATTTGATTTCCTTTTAATAAATTGAGGTAAAATTTTTTAGGCAATTATCTCATTTCTGTTTTCTATCTCCTTCCAATTCAAATCCTAAAACAATGGTGCATCCTGTTAAGGTGCTGGATTTATAACTTTCTTTTTGCTGATGTTTCTTCCTGAATTGTATACTTAGGCAATCTTTTTTAATTATTATTTCAGTAAATTGTGGTCTTTTTTAGCATTTGGTGGGCATAAGACTTGTTAAATTTTGTCTAGGTTCCTGTTCGTCACCTAGTCTTTATGATCCATGGTATTGGTCAAAGGTTGGAGAAATCTAATTTGGTGGATGATGTTGGTAACTTCCGCCATATAACAGCTACCCTAGCTGAACAACACCTTACTTCACATCAACATGGCACTCAAAGAGTCCTTTTCATCCCATGCCAGGTACATAGTAATTCTTCTTTTTCAAGTTGACTTTTTTCCTATGGTTTTGTTCTCTTGCTGATAATAATCTTTCTGTACCATTTTGAATTAAAATATTTAGTGTTGAACATGATTTCTCATGGACATGCTTAATTCAATGAATTAAAATATTTATAGTGTTGGACATGATTTCTCATGGACATGCTTAATTCAATATTTCTTGGCATTGAAACTAAAATATTTCATATATGCTCAACATTCTCATGCACATACTTAGTTGTCGCTTCTCTGAGCAGATCTTTATTTATCACTCTATCTAATTTGATAAATATTACCTGTTTCTTTATTTTGGTCTCTATTTTCTTCTTTTAGAATTTTCTTCTCTTTTATATTTTAATATTACATTTTCCTTGTTATTTTCTGGTATTAACTAATAACATTTATATACTGTATTCATCACCTGTTACTTATGTTGCAGTGGCGAAAGGGTTTGAAGCTCAGTGGTGAATCTGCTGTTGACAACATCACAGTAGATGGTGTGAAGGGTTTGCGTGTGATGCTTAGTGCTACTGTTCATGATGTATTATACTACATGAGCCCCATTTATTGCCAGGATATAATTGACTCGGTACAATATGCCTCATCCTTATTATTATTTATTTTCATTTTTTTTGTATTTTCTAGAGTCTGCCTGGTCAGTCTGAAATGTATCTTTTCATTTGGTTTCTTTGATGAAAATATGAGATTGACTCATGAGACACAACATCCTCTCTGGAAAAAATAAAAGTATATTATGGATTCTGGGTAACATCATAAATTGAAATGAATAAGAATCAAAGTATTGATGATCTTCAGTTCCTTAAAAAAAAAGAAAAAGTATTGATGATCAAGTAGATGATTGGAGGAATTATCATGCATCCAGATTTTACCCTTTTCAGGAAAACGTTTTTTTGCGTTCTTTTGAAGATGGTTAAAGGTTCCATTCCAAATATTGTGTTTCTCTTGAATATGATTTTGTATTTTATTATTCCAAATTTATTTTTATAGGTTTTTGAAATTTGTACCTGAATTTGCTCATAGCTCTAATTTATTGATTTCTGAGAATGAGGCTATTTAGATCGAACTAGAAACATGTTTCAAATTGATTTGATAGATGATTCTTCTCTTCTAGGTTTCAAACCAATTAAATCGGTTATATTTAAAGTTTCTCAAACGGAATCCTGGTTACGATGGAAAGGTAAGTGGCTGCTTGAGTGAATACCCTTATCTTTTCATTAAAGCTTTATCTATCAAGTCTGGACTCCACAATAGAAAGAGTGACTCTTTTTTAATGTTCTTATTTTTATGCCAACAATTTCTAAAGGTTTCCATATATGGACATTCTTTGGGAAGTGTCCTCTCCTATGACATCCTCTGTCACCAAGAGAATCTCTCCTCACCATTTCCGATGGATTCGGTGTACAAGGAGCATTCTAGAAATGTTGAATGTTTTCCAGAAATTAATAATAATAACCAATCCACGAAGTGTGACATTCCAAATAGTCTGGGTATGAATGAAAAACAAGGTATGGTGGGCTATGTTGAGGAAGAGTCAGTGGTTGCAAAATCAAATGTGTTTATGCATGAGGAGAGACATGATGAAGATTTTTCTGCAAATGGGAGTCCTGTCATGTCAGATATAGACTCAATTACTACAATGAATGGGAGTAAGGATCCTGTGCAAACAAGTGGTGAGGAAGATGCTCATCAACTAGTTGGTGATTTTGGTCACATCCCTCCCCAAGAAGAGGGTGGGTTTGATGAATCTACAAATGTGAACTGTTCTGCTTTGGCAAGTGGTATGGAGAAAATGGTTGAGGAGGAACACAATGGTTCTAGCATTAAGGAGGAATCAATCAAATTGCTTAGGGAAGAGGTATGATTTGTGAAAACACTTAATTTAATTTCTGTAATACAATCATACTATAATTCTGGTTGCATAGAATGTGAATGATTGCTCCTTTGATAAAGATTATGAAGTGTATCCATGTCTGTTCCTCAGAAAAGAAGAAAAATACGGAAACAAGGAAAAATGTACTTTGTTAAGTCTTGTTTGCATATAAAATGTGCCTGTGATGTTGTTTATCATTTTAGTAGAGGTTTATGTTAAGCATTTCACTCTTCAGGTTGATTCCCTAAAAGCAAAAATAGTGGAACTGGAATCACAATGCAAATATGGAGATACAGGTGGTATGTATCCCACATTTCTATATTTGGTTCTCTCCTATATATGTAGCTCTTAATTAGGTTATGATGTTCTGACAGAAAATAAGGATGTCATTGCAACCACACTGCAGAAACTTGCATCTCAGAAGAACGAGTGCAAGTTGCCACTGGAGCTGGATCACACGCCAAAAAGTTATACTCCTTATATCAGATACACAAAACTTGAATTCAAGGTCCAAAAAAAATAATAATAATAATGACCTTTCCTCTTTATGCAATTTTAGTATGTTCTTAAGTAGAGTAGCATGCTCATAGATATGTATTACCATCTCCAGACCTTCTTACCAATTGATGTCACCTTTTATATGTCAGGTTGATACATTCTTTGCAGTCGGATCACCTCTTGGAGTCTTTCTTGCCCTTCGGAATATTCGTCTTGGAATTGGTAATACTTAGGTCTATATTAACCTTTCATGTGCTTCAAATATTAGTGAATGAATGAATACTTTTTACGCATTGGGACACAACTTAAGGATAAATCTTCTATTCTCAAATAGTTCGTATAATTAGTTGGCTAGATGGAATTATAAGTTAAAGTCTTATTGATTAAATGTATAACAATCTGATCAAATGATCTCACGTTCTTTTGGTTGTTGCTTTTTAAATTTATGCTATGGCATTTGAGGTTGGTAGTTTTCCTGATTACTTTTAGTCACTTAAATAATACTTTCTTTCTGATGGCTATGCCTATACATTTGAACATGTTCACCATGTTCAAATGTTTAAATGGAATGTTTTTCCTTCTTCATTTTCAGTGTTGTAAAAAGCAGGCCTAGGCAGTGCCTAGGTGCCGCCTAGGCTCTAGGTGGTGCCATTCTGCCCGTATCAGTCTCTTGGCAAAAATTTAATGTGGTTTGAACCGCCCTTATCAATTAAGCATGCCCAGGCATTATTAGGCATGCTTAATGGTGCCTAAAGCGCTTGAGCAAATTTTTTTTGTTAATTTTTAACCCTAATAAAATGATGTTATTTAATTTATTATAAAAATTATATTAAAAAAACATTAAATGCCAAGTAATTTCCCTAAATTCTACTCTTTAGACATGATAATGAATAGAACAATGTTTAATTTTTCTATTTATTTTATAATTTTTAAAATTGTTTTACATTTTTTTCTTATTTTCTTAGAATTATATCAAAAAATTATTATTAAAAAAAAATAAACGGCCTAGGCTGCCTATGCACTCTAGGCTCTAGGCTGTGGGCAATCGCCCACCATTGTCTAGCGCTTTCTGCAACCTTGTTCTTTTTTTTTTTAAGTTATGATTTGGTTCTTACTCCTCACACCAAACTATTACATTATCCTTCAGTATCACTGAGAGTTTTTCTTAACATCCCCATTCCCAGTGCAGTGATATGCAACCTGCCTCCATTTCCTATCAACTAGTCTGATACTTGACCCAACTTGGTTGGGGAATCCTGGTTCATGTTCAGGACATGAGAAATTGACATCCCTAGTTTTAGTTCTGTAACACTTTTTTCCATGGGTCATTTATTTACTTGTTTTCAGTTTTTCAGTTTTTCAGTTTTTTCATTGATATGCCTAATAAATTTCTCACCTCTTTTGATCCTTACCTCATTCCCTGTCAACGCCAAACAAAGTACAATACATTGATGCTTTTGCTTCCCGAAGTTTTTAATTTTGACATGATTTATTTTATGGATACTTTCTCTTCTCCTATTTCAATATTTTCTCTCCTTTGTGGACAATCACTTTTTATAACTGCTATCATATTTGTCCTGCCGAAATAAATATTTATGAGTTCTTTTCATCTTCTCTATTCTAGGAAAAGGGCAAGAATATTGGGGTGAGGAAAATATTAATGAAGAGATGCCAGCTTGTCATCAGATGTTCAATATTTTTCATCCTTTTGACCCTGTAGCATACAGGTTTGGGTTGCCTTAACCTTTTATGCATTCTTGTAGTGACGTTGATTATTTTCTAATCCATTTGGAATTGTGCCTGGGCATGCAAACACTTAAACCATATATTTTCCCTCTGTATCTTCATTTCTTTGATGTTACAACTTTACAATCGGCCTTAATTTGGAAATGCTGATGCAAACTATTTTGGATTCTTTCTTTCTTTCATTTTTTTTTTTGGCAGGGTAGAACCCCTTGTTTGTAAAGAACACATTGAAAAACGCCCTGTAATCATTCCTTACCACAAAGGTGGAAGGAGGTTGCACATTGGATTTCAGGTAAGGGCCATAAATAAGTTCTCACACTCCCCTTTCCTCAGAGCAGATCTATCTTGTACTTAATCTCTTGTCTTCCCTCCAATTCTTTTCTTCACTTTCTCTTTGTCTACACCTTTTAAGAACCCTTACTTTTCATATGCTTATATTTGGTGGATTAGGAATTCTCTGAAGATTTAGCTGCCCGTTCTCAAGTGATACGTGATCATTTCAACTCCTTAAGGGTGGGCTCTATTAGACTTCCAATAGTTCATCCCTGCGTTGATTTTTTTCTCTTTCTCTTCTATTCATATGATTTTATTTATTTATGTTTTTTGATAGTTTCTCTTCATATGATTTGAGGAAAAATACTAAAATTTTCTATAAAATTTTTTGGAAAATGAACCTTCTATAAAATTATTTGCATGAAAAAGAAGACTATTACAAAATTATGAATCTACACAGAACTTCCAGTTGCAATCCTTAACTTTCTTGTAACCAATAAATGCATGTATATTAACTGTTAACAGTCTATCTTGACCTTGTGCTGTCTGGTTGTTCTGTTCATGGCTTATCTGTCAGTTCTTTTTCTTCTTCATCTAGCCAAGCTATAATGTATAAATATAGGGGATAGTGCTTATTTGTCTTAGCTTTTAAAAATTGAGAGGAAAATCATCCTAAAACTATATTATTTTAATAAAGTATCACAAGAAAAGACAAAAAAAATAGTCTAATTTATCCTTTAAAAATAGTTTATTTTAGTCTTTTTCAATTGGAGTCTATTAAAACGACATAATTTTGAGTTAATTTTTCTCCTAATTTTAGGAACTAAGACAAATGGGCACTTTTCCCATATATATATATATATATGGTTAGTGCATATCAATCCTGATTTTCAAAAGAAATTAGAGTCTTAACCTATATTTAGAAATTATTATCCCAATTCAATATTCAAAAATCCAATCAATTTTTAAATCTAAATATCAATATTTAATAAGATAATTTTTTAAATTTTAAATTGAGTTTTAAGTAAATAAAATAATGTAATTTGAGGTTAGAACTCTAATTTTTTTTTTTCAAGAGTCAGGACTGATATGCATTTTTATATATGAGATACAATGCTCTTACACACAAGTCTTACACAAAATCATAGCCATTCATTTTCCACTATTAATGACGAGATTTATCATAACTTTTTAGATGAAAGAACAATTAACTTTAAAAAAATGATAAAGAGTAGATAAATCTTAGCCATTCATAGTGGAGAGATGAATGGTCAAGATTTTGTGTAAGAATTATATGTAAGACTTGTGTGTAAGTTGATCTCAACTTTATATATATTTTATTGAAAACACATGGAAATTAATTGACAAGTTTCTATTAGTAGACCTTGACTTTTGTTTTAGTCTGAAATCTATGATTTTTTCCCCAGAAAGTCTGTTGTTTTCATTGACACTTCAATGGCACTTCCCTACTTCCAATGTTTAGTCTTTTTCTGGCTATTTTTGGTGAACAACTAGCATTGAAATTTCTTCTTTTTTTTTTCTTTTTTTTTTCTTTTTTTATTATTAGAATAAAGTTCTCACAGCTTGCCAGTCTAGAAATGCAGACGATGTAGAAGGTAATAGGAACTTCTATCCTATCTACACTTCTATTTTAATTTCTTATGCTCTCTTCCTTGCATTCAGTCATATTGAAAAAAGCTGAGTGGGATCATCTTCCCTTTAACCACTTCTTTTAGATTGTTTTTATATCATTTTTAATTCCTATCATTATTGGAAAAAATAAATAAATCCTATTTTTATCACAGATGGAGCAGAGAATTTAGGAGAAAAGGAAGAGAGATCCTATGGATCTTTCATGATGAAAAGATTAACTGGAAGTGAAGAAGGGCGGATTGATCATATGCTTCAGGTGCATAGCTGTTCAATTCAATTCCATCTTATCCATTTTTATATATAATTTTCCAATAGTATCTAATAAGCATAAACATAATTAATATCAAAGAAGTTAAATTCATTGACATAAAAGACTTGTTTAAAAAAATCGAATTCATGGTATATCCTTAGAAATTCTTACAACTACCATAGCAAATTAATAAAAATGTCTTTTATAGAAATGAATAATGTAAGATTAACCAAAGTAGCAGTTATCATCGTGGATGCCATTTAAGGGTTTTTTTTTTTTTTTCACCAAGTAAAAATGGGTATGGATCTGGATCTGGATCTGTACTAGCCAAAAAGCTTAGTAATGGCTTGGACACTAAATATTGGTTGCTACAAAGGTTTTTGGCTTAGGACTTAGGAGAAAAGTTCAAGGGACTTTAGTATTTTTACACCTCAATGCTATAACAAATAAAGGGTAAAGTTGGCATTTTCAGACTATTTTTCTTAAAAATGTTTCCCTCCAGCTTTCTTAATGTGGAGCCCACTTGACATTTTTTCTCCAATTTTCCAATTATCAACCTCTTACCTAATATGGAAAAATATGTATGAACAAAAAGGCCAGGCAGTGGGATGGATTTGTAGACGAATCTGTGGATGAAATTATAGATGGATGGATCAATGGATAAAAGATGAATAGATTTGTGGGCAAAGAAATGCGCAAATAGATTTGGTATGGGATTGTGGACGGATGGATATGGATGGACGGATGAGTTTGTAGACAGATTTGTGGGCAGATGGGTAATGGATGAACAGACAGATAGATTTGTGGATGGAATGGAACGATCCAATGGATTTGCAAACAGATTTATGAATAGACGGATGGACAGATGGATGTGTGGATGTGTGGATGAATTTGTGAACAAATTTATGGATGGACAAATAAGTGAGTTTGTGGATGGATGGGTGTGGATGAACAAATTTGTGGACAAGTGGACAAATGTATTTATGGACGGCCAGATGGACGGACTGACCGATGGGTTTCTAGATGGATGGATTTGTGGATGAACAGGCTGGTTTGTGGACAGATGAGTATAGATGAACGGATGGATGGACATATGGATTTGAGGAGGAATTTATGAATGGATGGACGGATGCATCTGTGGATGGATTTATGTACTGGTTTGTTGATGGACAGATAGGTTTGTATGGACAGGTAGACTGTTTTTTGGACAGGTTCTGGACAAATAGGTATAAACAGATGGACAGGTTTTTGGATGAATTGACGTGTGGGCAAATAGATAGAAGGGTTTGCAGATGAAATAGATAGACTGGTTTTTGGACGGGTTTCTGATTTGTTGTTCTGTAGTTTCTGCTAGCCATAGTCTAGCACAATAGACTGAAACCCATGTAGCAGCTTCAGCCTGTTTTAACTTTAAAATGACTAAAATGGAGTCCAACACGGCAGCTTAGTGGCCATCCATCTTGAGGAGAGGTGCTAGGACATTAAAATCTTGAGTTCAACACCGAAGCTTAACATCCCCCATCCACAAAAAGGTCGTGTACTTTGAACATAAAATTACTAAAATGAAGTGACAAGGATGTTAGTTCGGATTTGGAGACTTAGGTGTAGCCTCTTGGGCTCTGTCACTTCTGCCTCCTGGGCTTTGTAGCCTCTTGTTGCTGGGTTTTTTCCTTTACTATTTTACATAAGCTGCGTTCCTTCTTCTTAGGCAACTTACAGAAGCAATTAGAAATATGCAAGTTGAAGAAACCTGTAACTAGTGTTGAATAAGTAATGAAATTATCCTGGAGAAGTCACCCACGGTAAATGTTCATATGAACATGTAGAACTGCATACTTAAAGATCATTATTTAACAAAATAGAAGAGAAAGCAATTCCCCTACGTGGCCCGCGTGGCCACGCTGCTCAGCAGCAAAGTGGAATGCACCCTTTGGTCTTGAGGTCGAATCCTCCCAGTGTAGAACAGATGTTAACTTAACCATATAATTTCCATTGTCAAAAAAAAAAAAAAAAGACAAAATAGAAGAGAATATGGAAAGAGACTTTACTGCTTGTTTATTTCTCTTTAAATTTTTTCGACTTCATCTGGAATAGCTACATTCTGGTAGCATTACTAGCATTGATTGCTATCTTCTACAATCAGTGGCATCATATATTGCTAACTTACAGTTTTTCCTTTTGACTATGCAGGATAAAACATTTGAACATCCATATCTACAAGCCATTGGAGCACATACGTAAGCATTCTGAATTAAAACAGATATTGTTTGTTTTTAGCTGAGCCAAAAAAAACGTTGTTGTACATTTAATTTTGAATCAAGTAATCCTCATGGATGGAGTCCATTTGTGGATGACCATGTATCTTACTGTCAACTTATTTTCTTGTTCTTATTCTTAAGTTTTCACATCATAAATGCAAGTTTTTGGCAGAATGTGAAACTATTTTAGCTCTTGAGAAAATTTGCTCTTAATTTGGGATGGTGAATTGCTTAGTGTTGCTCAGCTTTCAATTTTGAAAGACTCCCCCCCTTCGTTTATTCAGTAAACCTTGATTATGCAGGAATTATTGGAGAGATTGTGATACTGCTCTGTTCATTCTGAAACACCTGTATCGAGACATACCTGAAGATCCCAACTCAGTGGTTGAATCCACTAGAGGCAGCTCAAAAGATAAGAACGTGTCTGCAATCTGGTCTGACCAAAGGGAGACTCCCAATGAAGAGCTTCCGTTGACATTGTCGGACAGGAATATGATTAGAAACTTGTCAGAGAAAGCTAAGAAATTCTGGAAGAAGCCTTGAACGGCATCTCATTTCCCGGTATCTGTAGACATTATCCATAGGAGCCGCATTTGGGGATGTTTTATTCTAGCGTCTAAGAAAGCTAAAGTGCATGAACCATAGGAATGAATGGAAAGAAGTGTATACTGTGAGAATACTTGAATTGTGTGAAGGATGTTAAATCGTTGATAGAAGTCAGTAACTGAGTAGCAGTTCCACACTCAGTAGATGTTCTTTCTTTGTATTTCCCTCTGTATACACCTTAGAAACTTGGTGAGAAATATAGGTGGTTTGTAACATAACCTCAATGATTTTGGAAATTGTATAGAAAAAGGTTACTGATTTTATTTGTTGTGCATTCTTTTATTTTTTTTGTGTGTAAAATTGGATTCAGTTGCTCCAAATTAAGAAACAAGGGATCAATTTGAAACTCCCTCCAAACCAAATATGTTACATGTACATCGATGCCATCTCCATTCTAAAACAATTTTGCCCAAAATTTTATGTAATACTTTTATTGACAATTGAAAAAAAAAAAATTATTTTTGCTAGTAATCAAAAAAAAAAAAAAAGATCAGGTAAAACTTCTCAACAAAAGTTATATATAGAAACAAAAGTTTAATTATCATTCACATTCAATGAAAATATGCTAAAAAGTAGAGAGTTTTTGTAGTAATGTTAAATAATGAAATTTTATAATAACTCTAATCAATTTTTGAATTTGATGAAATTCAATTATTTCAAACTTTTAGCTACATATTTTTTTAGAAATGCAAATTTACAAAAACATACAATAAACTTCATTTTGGAATTTACATTTTAATCTACAATTAAAACTTAATTTGATATGAGCTGAATTCATACAAATTACCTATCTTTCCCTTTCAAGGAATTGTAGCAAACACAATCAGTACATAATTATTAGGTATAATAGAAATCTTCAATATTGAATCATCCAAGTACTCATTTTTCTACTGTTGGATTGTTATCTTTGAATATCAATTCTTTTGAAAATAAATATATTTAAAAAAATATTGTATGATTTAAATTATATTAGATTACATAATATTAATCATTGAATAGGTCATGGCCCCTAGGCATTTCCTTATTTAATAATCTTTGTTTTCAATAATTGTATCCACAATAGATTTTGTAAATGGTTAAAGTATAACAATAACTATGGTTTTTACTACAAAAAAGAATCTTTAAAAGGAAATGCTAAACAATATGTGACTAAGGCTTCAGTTTCTCAAATTATGAACAAAATCTTATCATTCTCTTAAGAATCCAATACAAAGAGACGTAAGTTTTTATGTCACAAAATTAACATTAGTTATAATATCACAAGAATCTTTAAAAATAAGATATGATATGTTTTATTAAAAATATGAGACGATCGTGGACCACTAAACAATCATATAAACTTTAATAGTGAACAATGATATAAGAAAAGACTTTAAAAGTACTATGAAAAGGCCTTCTATAAACTGTAAGGCATTTGAACAACGAAGTACTTGAGATCTCTCCAACGTGTCTATGTCTATGTAAAGTTGTAAACACTTCTCTGGTAGCAAACGAAACTCTCCCTTTCTCATCTTAGAAACAAAAAACATGTTCCAAAATAATATCTGTGTTTCTGTCATTCCTTATTTCCATTATAAAGGAAAAGAGTCCATGAAGGATTCTAAGCGCAGCAGGGAGAGTGCAGAGTCTGTTGTGGATTGTCATCTTTCAATGTCAGTTTGTCTGAAGAAAAATATTGAAGGCATTGCATTTATGAAGAAAAGAGATTCTTTCAATTCTCAAATGTTGCAAGGAATCTCCTGTGTCTCCTCCTCCCACTCTTACACCTAATTGAGGATGATCCGATTCTCGTCAGTTCAATTCCTTCTCCGAT